TATGTATATGCAAACATTGTCCAAAAGTTACGAACTTTGTAAGTTTTCTTACGTGGGATCAATACGGGGAATCCCGAGCAGGCGAGGGTGGGCCCATCATGCCCGCTCAAGTAGCCAATCAGAACACAAGATTCACTTCATCTTGCCAGCGTGCGCACTGAAGGAGTTAAAGGATTGCATTGGAGGCTTATTACATTTAGGGCTTTATTACATTTAGGACCAAATGTTATTACATTTAGGACTTTATTACATTTAGGACAGTTATTACATTTAGGACTTCAACAGCAACTTTGTCTCGTTATACAACAATTCACCAAGATACCGGTAATATTGCCGTTCCTTGCTATTTGCACGAGCGAATAGGTTTTGAGAGATTTCTAAATATACCAAAAGAGTCGACCAGACGATGTTCCTGTATAATAAGACAGATGTCGTATTTTGAAACGAGAGGATCATCAAATTTCCCGAGAGCCCCTCTTCACCACACTGAGTGAAAGGGGACTTGTTTAAAAAGTTTTGAAATGTATTTTCAAATAAATTTTAAAACTCTAGGGACAGAAAACAAGTTGAAAACGGACTAACTGCCCGACCGGACACGGTCTCCAGAAACGTAAGTACTAATACATGGAATGACCTACAACAACCTAAAACCACTTACAACCACATAAAACCACCTACAGCTAACTAAAACAACTTAAAAACCACCTATAATCAATGATTTTTGAAAATACTTGAGCCTGCGACCCTCTTGAGACATTGACTGGTCAGAAGCCGCCTTCTATTAAAGGAACAATGCTCCTTTCCAGAAGCTTTTCGCGCGCGTCAAAAAAAAGACTAACCGAAATCGGAAACCGCGCATGGAAAGCCTCTGGTAAACCAAGAGCTAAAATCGGAATAGTAATAGTAAAATAGTATTCTGAAGGTGGTTGTAGGTGGTTTCAGGTGGTGTTAGGTGGTTGTAGGTGGTTTTAGATGGATCTAGGTCATTCCATGTTCTAATA